AAATAATGTTCTCTCCATATTTTAAACTGATTAACTCGAACACACCTCCTACTCTATCTCCTCATTCTCAAGCTTCACCATCTCTCACTCTTAGCTCTTCCTCCTTCTCCGAACTATATCTCATCCTCCACCACCACCACTTTTCTTCTAATGATCCCCCAGCCTGTCATCGCTTGGTTAATTCCACAATGCTTAGCGCCTATATCAAAAGAGTTTAATCTAATACAAATTTTTTACTTAATCAACAGAAGTTAACCATTATATTATGATGAACAGTTTAAGATGAATAAAAAAAATAATGCTCTCTGACAGTGAGAGCTTTACAATACGCAGGAGAAAACATGCAACCAATGTAATGGATGGGAGGGAAATGTCATATCCCCCACATTCTTGCTTGATAGGACAAGTGCATCATGTACCATCATTTAGCTAAACAGCAAAATGCACATTTTTTTTTCAAAAATATATATGTAACACAAATTCTAGCTAGAGACATTTTCTTGGAGACATTTTTTTAAAGACATTTCATCTCCAGCATATCTTACTGACCATTATAATTCTGTACAAGTATTCTTCAATCATATTACATAATTAATGAATACTTTGTGTGAGCTTAATCTCATACATCCCCATATTTTGCTTTGTATCACCTGTCATCATAAGATTACACAAGAATCAAACTAGCTAAAACATGCATTTTCTTAATCTCTTACAAAAATATCTTGAACAAAAACTAACTTTCACAATCTCTTAATTAAACCACTCTCTTTTCTCAAATATTTTTTTTTTTTTTTTTGAGATATATACAAGAGTTGTTACATTCTTGTACAGCCACTAGTACGCGTAGCGTTTCGGGCAGGTCCCTGGAATACGATCCCCTGCCGCGAAGAATCGTTTTTTCATCCAAGTACACATTTTACTGTTGCGTTAAACAGAGGCTACAGTTAAGGAATTGCGCCCAGTAAATCCTCCCCGGCCAGGATACGAACCCATGACATAGCGCTCGCGGAACGCCAGTCGAGTGTCTTACCACTACACCACGGAGACTGTTATCTTGTACTTGTACTCTTTCACTAGCCTAAGTTCTCATTTGCCTAATAATCTCTAACTCCATTTCACAACACAAACTACAATCTTACGTTCTTACACGAACAGTTTCATAAAACAATACACATTTCTAGATACATTCACTAAAACACTTACACAAATCACACTTACGCCTATATTTATTTCACAAACACTATTTCAAGAAAAACCATAAACACTTTTACTTAAAGAGTTACTTTACTCTCAAAATACATTTCCTACACATTGCAGAGTTCTTACACACGCAATCGGTCTCATCAACCTTACACAAATTTTCACAAGTACTCTTGCACAAAAAACTCACAAAGCCATATACCATTGCACATTTCCTTCCTATGCTACCGTGAACTTGCACATCCTCACCCATTCACGACCTTTACACTCACTCACACTCACAATTGGGCTGGACGGAAGAGCGACGGTCTCGCTTCATGCAAGCCAGCGTTTAATCCCCGCCCGTTCAAGTAGTTGGGCACTATTCCTTTCCCCTCCGTCTCATCCCAAATCCATATCCTGTCCCCTTCCAAGCACTATATAGTCATAATGGCTTGACACTTTCCCCTCACAATTACCTTTCCTTTACATTCATAACACAAATCTTACACACACTTTCTCAACACAGAGTCAATTCAAACACTATATCTCAAACACAAATTTGTTCAATCTCTCTCACAAATCACAGTCCCAAATCGAATCTTGCAAAATCTTTCTCAACCTTACTCAGCCTAATTAAACAAAAGCCCTTACACAGTTGCACATTATGTCCCATCTACTCAAATCACATAGTTAAACACAAACCAACTCTATCTCTTTCTTAAATAACAGTCACAAACATAATGTTGCACAATCTTTCATTCTTACTCAAACTTTAAGTCACTTCTACTCAATCTGCACTATCTCTAAAACGCACAAACTTGCACAGTTATTAATCTCCAACACAATGCACTTACATGAATTCACTCGTCTTCCATTCCAACTAATCAATCCCTCTAACCTATCGTAGTATTCCTTCGTAATTCACACTCAACTGTTCTCTGAGCATCTCTGAATAACGACATTCTTCTCTCACAATTTTCACAACGCGACTATACTTCCTAGCTAATCTAACATAGTTTAAGTAGATTCATATTTTACCACTGTGCTAATCTGAATATCGATAAACCAACTCATTAAACAAAATCACTTCATTATACCAAAACAAATCAAACAAGATTAAAACAGAAACAACAAGATTTCTCTGGCAAAGAACAGAAAAAATATGATACAGGAAAGTTGTGAAGTGCTTTTGTTTAATGAATTGGTGTATCGATATTTAGAGAAGCACAGTGGTAAAATATGAATCTATAAAGACTTAGATTAGCTAGTTAGATTAGCTAGGAATTAAAGTCGCGCTGTGAAAATTGTGAGAGAAGAATGTCGTTATTCATAGATGATCAGAGGACAGTTGAGTGAGAATTATGAAGGAATACTAAGATAGGTAAGGGGGATTGATTAGTTGGGATGGAAGACGAGTGAATTCGTGTAAGTGCTTTGTGTTGGAGATTAAGAACTGTGCAAGTTTGTGGGCATTAGAGATAGTGCAGATTGAGTAGAAGTGACTTTGAGTTTGAGAACGAGTGAAAGATTGTACAACATTATGTTTGAGACTGTTATTTAAGAAGGAGATGGAGAATTGTTGGTTGGTGTTTAATGGGTGCTTCTGCCCCTATTGTACGATGTACAATGGGGCAGAAGCACTTGACCACAATATGATAACATAATCTCTCTCTCTCTCTCTCTCTCTCTCTCTCTCTCTCTCTCTCTCTCTCTCTCTCTCTCTCTCTCTCTCTCTCTCTCTCTCTCTCTCTCTCTCTCTCTCTCTCTCTCTCTCTCTCACACACCCTCTCTCTCCCTCTAGGTTATGGAAGATACTGAGGGTACTGGTATAGAGTTGATGAAGGTGGTGGTAGCTGGAGAGTGTAGTGGTGGGGGATGGAAGCACTTGTAGATGATAGTGGTTGTAACACTTCACACTTAAACCACACACACACTCTCTCTCTTTCTTTCTGTCTTTCTAACTTTCTTCCTCCTGTACATATAAAAAATCTATTTAGGTTAGGTAAGGATGGTTAGTGATGCATCGACATTATTATACGAAAGAGAAGAGGCGGAAGGAGGCGAGATGCATTGTTTACAGGTGAAGAATAACCTTATTTATACGGGATAGTATATCATTTTGGGAACGGTTACTGTAAGGAGGCATCTGACCGGAACTATGAAAGTTGTTGTAGGGTATTCATAATTTATTATCCTGATACATGTGAAAGGTGCTGCAACTAGGCCAAGTTTCAGCATCTCAGCTTAAATAGAGAAGGAGAAAAAAAAATTATACAATTTTTCAACAATGTTCAATTGCTTTCACAGCCCACAATTGTGAACCAAAATCATTTCTTCGACACTCAGCTATGACCTTACTATATAATAAAGATTTGCACGCAGGATTTTTATCCCAGATGTATTTAGTGCAATAATACAGATTTTTAAAAGTTTCCCAAAAACGTATGCAACAAAATGAAGTGTATCATTATTTATAAAATCAATAAATCTACGTAGATAAGAAAAAGCTACATGTGTTTTTAGAGGCGTAAACTCTACATATAATGTGCAAGTTTCATGTAAATTGAATAATAAATAAAGGCTGTGAAGGCAGATCTAGTTGTAAAAGTTGGAGTGGCGTAGCGCGCCGCGACAAGTTACTGGACAAGTTACTGTACTCGCAGTCATGATCTTCACTCGTGACAATGCGTGATTTACACATTGCAGCCAGCTCGTACCTTCTATGGAGAGCTCGCATGCATCTAGCTTTCAATGCTTTTCTCTTGTTCGTTTGGTAAGTCATATTGCAATACAAATAGCAAAAATAGCATGAGTTCTGGGAGATATTGTGAGAGCGCGTCAGCGATACATCCACCTCCTAAGGAACACACACAGTGACTGAGGGGCTGAGCCACGAACGCCACCCTCTCTCACACGAGACTGTTGCCAATGAGTGAGTTTATATTCATTTTATGCATAACATGTTATTTTCAACGCTATTACGAAATATTAGACTTCTACAACGTAAGATACAATACTCCGCGGCGCGAGGACCAGATTCACGAAAGTTGCAGCGGGAAATTTGACTCTAATTACGTTATTTTTCAAGATAACATAAAACGGTTTGCACCACAGTGTTGCCAGAACGTTGTATTTTTTTCGTAATTTTTCGTAAATATTCCATTTTTCTTCGGATTTTCCGGGGTTATTGTAAGCTGCACGAACGTATTTTTACCTTAAACGTTCGATCATACTTGCAAATGACCTTACAATGCTTATCTTCTCCCTGTAAAACTTTATTTACTTGGAAAACTTTTTCCTCAAACGTTTCTCCAACCGAAACATAAGCCAAATTGTTATATTGCTGCTGAAGGTCCTTGTTGGAACTTGCTAATCTAAAGAGTACAAACAAGTAATTACGAAATAATGTAAGAAACAATCTGAAAACTCTACGAATTTTTTTTAGCACCCCTTTCGATCTGTTCCCATTAAATCTTTCGATTTAAACTCGTTTACCACATATGCCCTCTTAAACCATTATTTCACATTGCAAAGCAATATTGCAAGCCAGGAATGATTGGTCAGTGGGTAGTCTTCATTTATCCTACTCCAGTTCAGTACCTGCCAATAATATACGCTCATCACATACACTATTTAGTACCTGCCAGTATTATAGGCTCATCACATACACTGTTCAGTACCTGCCAATATTAAAAGCTCATCAAATACACAGTTCAGTACCTGCCAATATTATAAGCTCATCACATACACTGTTCAGTACCTGCCAATATAATAAGCTCATCATATACGACGAGATCAATAGCCGCCAATGTTCCTAGGAAGCAGAGTCTGGAATTTACCGAGAGATGGCGGAGGCTGCGAGGGTGGGGCGCCTCATCTACAAGACCCACGCACAAGTGCCGGCCAGCATCAACACCCTGGTCAGGCACCACCGCCACGTCCTCATCGACGCAGCTAATGCCTTGAGATCACACATTTCTGATGAATTCACAAAAAAAGGTAATTTAATTGTTTATCCTATAAACAAGCTGTCCTCTCACCTAGTAGATTACTATTTATTATTATCCACAAAACGTCAAAATTGCCTTAAAAATTTCAGAACATCGCCCAAATTAGTTGGGTTGGAGCATAGAGATATATATACGTTTCTGGCCAGGAAAAACAATTAAATTTTTTTGCTACTTGTTATGACGGGGCTTGGTGGCCCTGGCCTCTCTCTCCCATTTGGTAGGCCCTGGCGGGGCTGGGAGGTCCTGGTGGGGCTGGGAGGTCCTGGTGGGGCTGGGAGGTCCTGGTGGGGCTGGGAGGTCTTGTGGGGCTGGGAGGTCCTGATGGGGCTGGGAGGTCCTGGCGGGGCTGGGAGGTCCTGGTGGGGCTGGGAGGTCCTGGTGGGGCTGGGAGGTCCTGGTGGGGCTGGGAGGTCTTGAGGTCCTGGTGGGGCTGGGAGGTCCTGGTGGGGCTGGGAGGTCTTGGTGAGCCTGGGAGGTCCTGGTGGGGCTGGGAGGTCCTGGTGGGGCTGGGAGGTCCTGGTGGGGCTGGGAGGTCCTGATGGGGCTGGGAGGTCCTGGCGGGGCTGGAAGGTCCTGGTGGGGCTGGGAGGTCCTGGTGGGGCTGGGAGGTCCTGGTGGGGCTGGGAGGTCCTGGTGGGGCTGGGAGATCCTGGCGGGGCAGGGAGGTCCTGGTGGGGCTGGGAGGTCCTGCTGGGGCTGGGAGGTCCTGGTGGGGCTGGGAGGTCCTGGTGGGGCTGGGAGGTCCTGGTGGGGCTGGGAGGTCCTGGTGGGGCTGGGAGGTCCTGGTGGGGCTGAGAGGTCCTGGTGGGGCCTGGTGGGGCTGGGAGGTCTTGGTGGGGCTGGGAAGTCCTGGTGGGGCTGGGAGGTCCTGGTGGGGCTGGGAGGTCCTGGTGGGGCTGGGAGGTCCTGGTGGGGCTGGGAGGTCCTGGTGGGGCTGGGAGGTCCTGGTGGGGCTGGGAGGTCCTGGTGGGGCTGGGAGGTCCTGGTGGGGCTGGGAGGTCCTGGTGGGGCTGGGAGGTCCTGGTGGGGCTGGGAGGTCCTGGTGGGGCTGGGAGGTCCTGGTGGGGCTGGGAGGTCCTGGTGGGGCTGGGAGGTCCTGGTGGGGCTGGGAGGTCCTGGTGGGGCTGGGAGGTCCTGGTGGGGCTGGGAGGTCCTGGTGGGGCTGGGAGGTCCTGGTGGGGCTGGGAGGTCCTGGTGGGGCTGGGAGGTCCTGGTGGGGCTGGGAGGTCCTGGTGGGGCTGGGAGGTCCTGGTGGGGCTGGGAGGTCCTGGTGGGGCTGGGAGGTCCTGGTGGGGCTGGGAGGTCCTGGTGGGGCTGGGAGGTCCTGGTGGGGCTGGGAGGTCCTGGTGGGGCTGGGAGGTCCTGGTGGGGCTGGGAGGTCCTGGTGGGGCTGGGAGGTCCTGGTGGGGCTGGGAGGTCCTGGTGGGGCTGGGAGGTCCTGGTGGGGCTGGGAGGTCCTGGTGGGGCTGGGAGGTCCTGGTGGGGCTGGGAGGTCCTGGGAGGTCCTGGTGGGGCTGGGAGGTCCTGGTGGGGCTGGGAGGTCCTGGTGGGGCTGGGAGGTCCTGGTGGGGCTGGGAGGTCCTGGTGGGGCTGGTGGGGCTGAGAGGTCCTGGTGGGGCTGGGAGGTCCTGGTGGGGCTGGGAGGTCCTGGTGGGGCTGGGAGGTCCTGGTGGGGCTGGGAGGTCCTGGTGGGGCTGGGAGGTCCTGGTGGGGCTGGGAGGTCCTGGTGGGGCTGGGAGGTCCTGGTGGGGCTGGGAGGTCCTGGGGCTGGGAGGTCTTGGTGGGGCTGGGAGGTCCTGGTGGGGCTGGGAGGTCCTGGTGGGGCTGGGAGGTCCTGGTGGGGCTGGGAGGTCCTGGTGGGGCTGGGAGGTCCTGGTGGGGCTGGGAGGTCCTGGTGGGGCTGGGAGGTCCTGGTGGGGCTGGGAGGTCCTGGTGGGGCTGGGAGGTCCTGGTGGGGCTGGGAGGTCTTGGTGGGAGGTCCTGGTGGGGCTGAGAGGTCCTGGTGGGGCTGGGAGGTCCTGGTGGGGCTGGGAGGTCTTGGTGGGGCTGAGAGGTGGTGGGGCTGGGAGGTCCTGGTGGGGCTGGGAGGTCCTGGTGGGGCTGGGAGGTCCTGGTGGGGCTGGGAGGTCCTGGTGGGGCTGGGAGGTCCTGAGGTCCTGGTGGGGCTGGGAGGTCCTGGTGGGGCTGGGAGGTCCTGGTGGGGCTGGGAGGTCCTGGTGGGGCTGGGAGGTCCTGGTGGGGCTGGGAGGTCTGGTGGGGCTGGTGGGGCTGGGAGAAGGTCCTGGTGGGGCTGGGAGGTCCTGGTGGGGCTGGGAGGTCCTGATCCTGGGGCTGGGAGGTCCTGGTGGGGCTGGGAGGTCCTGGTGGGGCTGGGAGGTCCTGGTGGGGCTGGGAGGTCCTGGTGGGGCTGGGAGGTCCTGGTGGGGCTGGGAGGTCCTGGTGGGGCTGGGAGGTCCTGGTGGGGCTGGGAAGTCCTGGTGGGGCTGGGAGGTCCTGGTGGGGCTGGGAGGTCCTGGTAGGGCTGGGAGGTCTCGGTGGGGCTGGGAGGTCCTGGTGGGGCTGGGAGGTCCTGGTGGGGCTGGGAGGTCCTGGTGGGGCTGGGAGGTCTTGGTGGGGCTGGGAGGTCCTGATGGGGCTGGGAGGTCCTGTCGGGGCTGGGAGGTCCTGGTGGGGCTGGGAGGTCCTGGCGGGGCTGGGAGGTCCTGGTGGGGCTGGGAGGTCCAGGTGGGGTGGGAGGTCCTGGCGGGGCTGGGAGGTCCTGGTGGGGCTGGGAGGTCCTGGTTTGGCTGGGAGGTCCAGGTGGGGCTGAGAGGTCCTGGTGGGGCTGGGAGGTCCTGGTGGGGCTGGGAGGTCTTGGTGGGGCTGGGAGGTCCAGGTGGGGCTGGGAGGTCCAGGTGGGGCTGGGAGGTCCTGGCGGGGCTGGGAGGTCCTGGTGGGGCTGGGAGGTCCTGGTGGGGCTGGGAGGTCCTGGTGGGGCTGGGAGGTCCTGGTGGGGCTGGGAGGTCCTGGTGGGGCTGGGAGGTCCTGGTGGGGCTGGGACGTCTTGGTGGGGCTGGGTGGTCCTTATGGGGCTGAGAGGTCCTGGTGGGGCTGGGAGGTCCTGGTGGGGCTGGGAGGTCTTGGTGAGGCTGGGAGGTCCTGGTGGGGCTGGGAGGTCCTGGTGGGGCTGGGAGGTCCTGGTGGGGCTGGGAGGTCTTGGTTGGGCTGGGAGGTCCTGATGGGGCTGGGAGGTCCTGGCGGGGCTGGGAGGTCCTGGTGGGGCTGGGAGGTCCTGGTGGGGCTGGGTGGTCCTGGTGGGGCTGGGAGATCCTGGCGGGGCTGGGAGGTCCTGGTGGGGCTGGGAGGTCCTGGTGGGGCTGGGAGGTCCTGGTGGGGCTGGGAGGTCCTGGTGGGGCTGGGAGGTCCTGGTGGGGCTGGGAGGTCCTGGCGGGGCTGAGAGGTCCTGGTGGGGCTGGGAGGTCTTGGTGGGGCTGAGAGGTCCTGGTGGGGCTGGGAGGTCCTGGTGGGGCTGGGAGGTCCTGGTGGGGCTGGGAGGTCCTGGTGGGGCTGGAAGGTCTCGGTGGGGCTGGGAGGTCCTGGTGGAGCTGGGAGGTCCTGGTGGGGCTGGGAGGTCTTGGTGAAGCTGGGAGGTCCTGATGGGGCTGGGAGGTCCTGGCGGGGCTGGGAGGTCCTGGTGGGGCTGGGAGGTCCTGGCGGGGCTGGGAGGTCCTGGTGGGGCTGGGAGGTCCTGGTGGGGCTGGGAGGTCTTGGTGGGGCTGGGAGGTCCTGGTGGGGCTGGGAGGTCCTGGTGGGGCTGGGAGGTCCTGGTGGGGCTGGGAGGTCCAGGTGGGGCTGAGAGGTCCTGGTGGGGCTGGGAGGTCCTGGTGGGGCTGGGAGGTCCAGGTGGGGCTGGGAGGTCCAGGTGGGGCTGGGAGGTCCTGGTGGGGCTGGGAGGTCCTGGTGGGGCTGGGAGGTCCAGGTGGGGCTGGGAGGTGTTGGACGCCAGTTAGTCGCCCATGGTCATACACATAGGGTGACCTAATACCCTCTTAAGCTAAACAACTTAATAAGTATCAACAACGTGTCAGCAGATTTGAATGCAATCTACTCTGCTGCAGACCACAGACCTCAGACACACCCCGGGCATCAGAGCGTCTACACGCGCTCCCTTTCACACGCTACAAGCTAGTTCGTGGCCCGTGTAGAAGATAGAAGATATATATATATATTTATAATAAAACTAAGAAAAAGCAGTGGACGTTTGGTACTCCAATTCCTGCCCACAACCTAATCATTCTACAACAACATCGACCGATGTAACACTGGTTGGCAGCTTAGTGGGATTCACCGCTGTCCTCCAGCAGCACAGCAGCTCACAGCAGCGCAGGAGCACAGCAACACAGCAGCTCACAGCAGCTCACAGCAGCTCACAGCAGCGCATAGCAGCTCACAGCAGCTCACAGCAGCACAGCGTCGCAGCAGCACAGCAACACAGCAGCGCACAGCAACACAGCATCGCAACAGTTCAGCGTGCCTGACTCACCCAGCGTGCCCCGTGCCTTGTTCACCCAGCGCGCGCCCCTGACTCACTCACCCAGCGCGCGCCCGTGCCTGACTCACCGCGCGCCACCAGCTGACTCGCCGTGACTCACCGTGACTCAACGAGCCTTGGTGCCTGCCTGACGTCACCTTACCACCCCTCGCTGTCTGGCCTGACGACTTCTACCGCGCCTGACGTCTCCTGCCGCGCCTGACGTCTCCTGCCGCGCCTGACGTCTCCTGCCGCCTGACGACTTCTGCCGCACCTGACGTCTCCTGCCGCCTCCCGACGCCGACGACGCCGACGACGCCGCAGCACGACGCCGCAGCACGACGCCACAGCACGACGCCGGACCTGTGACGACCACATCATCTCTGCCCTGTTGAACGGATTGCAGCGCCAGCAGCCTTCAGCTCTAGTTAAGTACCCTTTGTTATTTGTGTAGTAGAGTAAACTGTGGACTTTCGTGG